TAATGCGTAATCTCTAATGCAATGCATCAAGAATATAAATGTATTAAGAATTATATCTCAATGTTTTCTAATTAAATAGTATAACAGTAAGTAGTACATCTGATAAAATTATGAATTTTAGAAAATAAACACGGCAATATATATTCTGATAAAGAGTCACATACTCTCGTTACCATCACTCACTAAACAGCTCTATTAATGTTAACATCAAATTTATTTCTGAATGAGCAAAAATAGATTTTCGAGAGCGTATTTGCACGATCCATAATTATGTAACTACAAAACACCGGAAAAATAATACAAACTTGACCAATAAAAAAGTAAGGTGTTATAAATATAAATCGTCATTGCGTTAAGCCATTTACGAACAATTAATCTAAAAAGTTAACGAAATAAACCTGATCTTTCTAAAATGTGATATAACCTCGAAATTTTTCATTTATATGATTATGTAATGTCGAAAGATTTAATCAAGATTGTAATATGCTACGTGTCAAAAGATAATCTTTTTTCTTTTAAAAAATTTTTTTAATTATCTTAATATATTTTATAAATATGTGATATCTTAATAATGATATTTTGCAAATCATTAGATTCGACTAACCTGAAATGTAGTCGTAATAATGTAGAAAATAGTTATTAACAACTATTTTGTACTATCTCATGTACAGAGTATTTAGCTCAGTCCTGTTCGACTTAAATAAAGAATATCGTCGTACTATTAGTGAATCCAAATTGCAAAAATCATGTCATTCATCAAACCGGTCGAACTCTACGTCTCGCTAGGGCGTACTAAATGATCTAAACTCTATACTAAGCTTTCACAAATTTTATCTTCCACAAACTGCATCTAGAATTAGCAGGTTGCTTAATTAGTGTGACGATTTTTTATAATTACGTTAATTGTTTATCTTGAAACTGGATTTGTAACTTTAGAAAATTAAAGAGAATTAATAAGCATAATAAATTTAAGGCAAGAATTAAATCTAATTTTCTTTTAGCTACATATTTTTTCTATACTTTTATTTATTTGTCTATTTTTCTTTGATCTATTGTCGTGTGTCGTAAAGACATTTAAAGTATTTGGACATATTCGTTTTATTTCGAGTAAAATAAAATCCATTCTACAATCGCGTAAATATAATTATAAGTAGTGTAGATGCGAGAATTAACCAATCACACAATAGAATATTCTCCCTCCTCATATTCGATTGTGATTGATCAATTCTTTTAACTATAATATATACTTTTAACTATTTTACTTACAATTACGCTTACGTAATTGTAAAACGAGCTTAAACATAAAAAGAACATTGACCTAGACTATGTTCCAAAACTTCCTCTTCGAAGAAGATTTTACTCTGTTAGTATACATTAGTATGTTAATATACATTACGTGACTATTATATTTCGAGTAAAATTTTCCCTAGTTTCCACCGAGAGTTTAATCCGACTCAGAATGTAAGAAACCAATTACAGTCGAGCATTCCCCTCGTTCGACTGTAAGGCTTTAAACACAATAATAGGCACAGGCAATAGGCACAAGAAACAGAGAATAACGAGCTATCCAATCAGAGCTCTGGGATATAATATCGAAGGGACACATACCAGGGACGCTATTCTGTAACTTTTAACGACATTTGTCGCTTGCGCGACCGATAGAGATGGATCAAGGCTATTCTAAAAATTTAATACTATCAATACTTATTCGTTGCAAGCGACAGTTATCGGTACGGTTTTTACGACATTTGTCGAAAAAGTACAGACAGGTCAAAATGTAAAGAAAAATTTATCTCAGCCAATATCATTACAGCTCTAAAAGAAATATTCTAGGGTCTAGGCAATATCTATGCATATATATTGTATTGATGCGTTCTTTCTGCGGTTTGTTTCGCTGTGTACTTCTTGGTGCTTCTATTTCTGCAAAAATACAAAATGAGCTCACAAGAAACGTAAGTATAAATGTAATGATAAATAGAAAAAGTAATAATATATAAGAAAATAATATATATGATCATGATATTGTATTATTTTTTGTATCGATGTACATTAAATATTAAATTCGTTTATTAAAATTTATTCAATGTTAGTAAGCATACATACTAACTATATCGAGCAATATAATATTATTTAATATTACAAAGGTAATATTATAGCTGCATTAACTTCTCTCCTGCTGAAAACAGCCAATATAACCTTATAAAAGGGATGCAAAAGCAAAGCAAAATCTATTTTATATCATTATGAAAATATTTTGGATGAACAGGACATAAATAGATTTTACTTTGATTTTATAGGATCTGCACAATTTTTGTAAAAAAATTAGTAGTAAATACTTTGTAAAAACTAACTTTCAACATATCGTTGGATAATATATGTTATAGTGGTTTTTTTATTTATATTAAGAATCAGTGTGCAACTGCAAGAAGCACGAGAAAGATTTACTGAGATTGCAGAAAGCCATAAAGTTCTACAGGTAGCATATTTATTATTGCATTACAATATGTATCAAGATTATTATGTAAAGAAATATTTTATCTTTTGTTACAGTCGTTCGCAGAAGCTGTAATAAAGCAGGCTGATGCTGCAAAGATAATAGCAGAAAATTACCGTCAATGGAACGTTTTGGAAAAACAACAGCTTATATTGAAGGAAAAACAATTACAAATAGATAAAAATCTTCTTCAAGTTTTAGATAATGTACATGGTTTAATCGAAAAAATATTGAATAAACATATATAAATAAATAAAAGTTCTTTGTTATAACTTATTTAATATATAAATAAATACATTTCAGCTTACTCTATGTTTTTTATACTATTTTTTGCATAAACTAACTTGATTTATACAGTAAAGTGAGGAGCACACGCTTTTTTTTTTTAATGTAAAATGCATGGGACATAAGAAATTCAACCAATCAGAGTCCTTTATTTCATGGGAAGGAAAGAAGAATAAAAATGATAAGTTAATTTCTTCCATAGTGGCGAATAATAAATCGTTCCTGTATACTTGCGGCAAGTGCTCCTCGAAATCTTCATGCTCTACAACTGGATTAATCCTATGATCTAAGTGTTCATTGTCCATTTCGTCTATTTCCAGATCATCATGTATACCATGTGCAATCCTCATGTTGTGCAACACAGCACATGCATTAATAATTTTGCCAGCCATGCCTGGTTCATATATTAATCTCCTCTGAGTCGTTAGACATCGAAACATTGCTTTCCAAACATCAAAGCGTTTTATACATGACCTAGCACTGCACAAATTCTCATTGTATTGGAACCTAGGCATATTTGATTTTTCATGTTTTAGAGAAGTCATTAGCCATGGCTCTAGGCTGTATCCATCGCCTTTATTTACAAAAATAGAAAAGATTTAAATTTATCTGTTTTTTTGCCACTACCTTACATTGTAATTTAAAAAATGAAAAAAATATATACCTTTTAATCAAGTATTCTCCGTTATTATATCTTCGTTTCATGATATGTTGCACAAGAGAATTGGACCAAATGTACACATCATGTTTTGCTCCTGGATATCTTGCATTTAATATTTGTAAATCAGGATCACAGATTTAATAACATAAAAATATGTATTTTAAAAACATAATATAATATGTATAATTATATATATGTAATATATATATATATATATA